GCCCAGCCCCGCCCAGCCCCAGGCCATCAGGGCCCTGAGGCTCCCGCCCGAACTGCTGGTCAGTCACTATCAGCTAGTGTCCACTTTCGGTCGTCGTCGTTTTGGTCGGGTCGGAACTCGCCGGTGCTCGTCGCTGCAGCTGGGACGCTGCCGCTGGCTGCCATAGCACCTGCACCTGGCGGGCTTCCCTCCCCCGCGGCGACCTGACCTGCCGGGCCTCGACCTTGCTGCCCTCGTCCTCGGTGAGTGGGAGTGGAGTGCGCGCCCCCTCCCCCACGTGCACGCTTGGGCTGCCCACCCCGCGCTCTACAGGAGCTGCGCTCGAGGGGACTTCCTCCCGGAGCCAGGCCCTGCGTCCCCCACGCTTTCGTCCCGACCACGGTCGTCTCCACTCAAAAAGGGGAAAGGGGTAAGATCTTGCGCCCGCACGCCGCCCGCCCGCTCATGTGCGTTCTGTCGTTGCAGCCGCTGCCGGGGAGGTCCACGAGAAGCAACCCTTCCTCGCGACCACCGAGCCCGTCCGACTGACGCCCGCCTGGGAGGACACCAACCTGCCCAACGACGAGCTCAACTTCAAGGGCGTCACCATGGAGCAGGCCGACCTGGAGATGAACCCTCCGAAGGACAGGTGAGTTTCAACTTTATGAAATGTGCGTGATTCGCGGCTGCCCCTTAACAGAACTCGTTCCAGTAGAAACACTCGCGATACGCCCGTCTCGCCTCGCAGGCAAATGAAATTCTTGTGTGTGTCGCGTCTTTGATTTCGTATCAGGGGCTGACCGCCACGCTGCCACCGCCCAGAGAGTTATGCATTTTTCGTCGATCTCGAAACGATGTTCGCAAGTCGAAATTGTGCACAGGTCTGTGTCGTTAACGACTTAAACCAGTGCCTCGACATTGTAACGACATCGTTTGGACATCGACAAAAAAAAAAAACAAAAAAAAAAAACAAGGAGGAAAGAAAACACAAAATTAATTTTGTGTGAATACTGGTACTCGTTCTTTACAGAGACCCTTTCAGTGCTCAGTTGCTTTACATCTATATGGTTGTAGAATCAACGAGTGTTGTTCTGTCAACATGTGTCACGTTTCTCTGAGAATATATATTATTATTAAACATGTACCATATGAAACTGGATGATGACGAAATTAAAGAGAAGGCTAAAACAGGCGCTATTCTCGGTATTCCCTTCAGGTCACAAGACAAGAGCATTGTTGCAAAAGTCGGCGCTTTCAAAAAGATGCGCGTTCCGTGAAAACCAAAATGAATATGAATCTACAGTTGGCGGCACAATAGCAGAAGCAACATAGGCAGACAGGACTTAGACTGAAAACTTGTGAAATCTGTTAAGAGTTCTCAAAATTTTGCTCTTAGACCGAAACAATCTTCATTGCTTCCAGTAATACTAGCAAACGAAGTTTCGAATGGTAGTATTGTCATGTCTGTATGCGCTTCGTGTTCCAAGATGAAGATTTGTTGTGCGGCACGGGTCTATCGACTTAGAACGAAAACCGGCGAATTTTGTTAAGAGTTCTCAAAAAAGTAGTGTCAAACTTGAAAAAAGGTCCATTGTTGGTCACGCCTACAACATTCCCAGTTTCGAATGGTACAAGTATCATAAGTGTACATATTCTGTACTGCGAGCATGAATAGCGTTACGCGTGACATCGCACTGAGATCAATACTCGTACTTCTACCACTGAGTAGGTGCAGGTGGTGGTAAAGAACGAGTAAAAACACTCATTTCTCACTGGGCGCTCTCCGCCCGCATATTTTAGTAGTTGTGAGGACAAGTGGCCCAATCAGTACACTATGTGGCCCCCATGATACTTGAGTGGCCCTGATGTGTGCCTCTAAAGGTGCGATTTAAAACAAATACACTGCCATCCTGTCAAAGTTTTTTAAAAAAATATTTTTTTTTCAGGTTTAACTTGGTTTACCTGACCCTTCTTCTTCATGGGATTGGGACTTTAATGCCGTGGAACATGTTTATTACACCCAAAGACGTAAGTACCTAACTAGATTGACAGCTTTGTGTAATCTTGGTATAGGGCTTTTCATTTTATCTGCCTTGCGTTTAATAATCCTTCATAAGTGTTTGGCAGATACTGACAATGCCCATTCATACTTTTGTTTGTTTGTTTGTTTGTTGTGTGCAGTTGTAACATTTCATATATTTTTACAGTATTTTGTGGACTATAAGTTGGGAAATGGCACATCTGCTGGAAAAGACTTTAAATATGACGAGGACTTCCTTGCATATATTAGCTTTGCAGCCCAGGTTCCAAATTTACTGTTTAATTGGCTGAATGTTTTTGTCCAGTTTGGGTTAGTACAATTAAATTTTTTTTATCCAAATTTTTATTTTACTCTAACTTTTTTACCATTACTAATTTTTTTTCTATTGTTTTTGTTTTAGAGGGAGCGTGACGACTCGTGTTGTATGGAGTATTCTTGTTATGGTTTTTATATTTGTTATGACAGTTGTTCTTGCAATGATGGATTCTTCTGACTGGCCTGGATCATTTTTCTGGGTTACTATGGTCTCTGTTGTCATTCTTAATAGTAAGTATCAAAACCCATTATTTCTTAAAATTTATTGCCATAATTTTCAAATTTTCTTAAATCATGTTTCTGTTTTTAGTGGCAAGTGGTATCTATCAAAACACTGTTTATGGAATGGGAGCAAAGCTTCCACCTAAGTACACTGGAGCTATTGTTCTTGGATCGGTATGTTAACCATTGAAGACTTCTTTTTTCTCCTTAAATATAGTACTCTCACTCACATCCTGCATTTATTTTTTATTGCAGAATATCAGTGGAACCTTTACTGCGATTGTTAGCTTGATATCACTTGTGATGGCTCCTAATGTTCGAACAGCTGCTATTTATTACTTTATCGCAGCTTTATTGGTACTCTTGGCTTGTTTTGACACATATTTTGCTCTACCTTTGAATGTAAGTACATTGTGACACATTTCATCCACGTCCTGCATCAGCGACATTTGGAGGGAAAATAACTTATCAATTCTCTTACAGCGCTTTTACCGTTATCATGAGTTGATGAGCCAGAAGGAACTCCAAAAAAAGAAGAGAGAGAACTTGGGAGCTGTGCCGAGGACACCTTTCTTTGCTGTTTTTCGAAAGTGCTATCCTCAGTGCCTTAATGTATTCATGGTCTTTTTTGTGACATTGGCGCTGTTTCCTACAGTCCAATCAGGTACATCAACTAGTAAATTTTCACTTTGTTGTAATAATTGGTTAAACTTGTGAAGTAGTACAATTTTATCTTCTGTTTTAGACATAAAACGTTCGGATCCCAACTTCTTTATTGAAGAGCGATTTTATCTATCCGTACTCTGTTTTATTACTTTCAATGCATGTGCAATGATTGGTAGTTCCCTCTCCACATGGGTTCGTTGGGTAAGTTAATTAATTCTTAGAGTTTTACAGTTTTACTAATTGTTTTGAACTACACTGCACCAAGACCAACACATGTACGTTTTTATTTTGCAGCCTGGGCCAAGATTTCTTACTGTCGCAGTATGGCTTCGTCTTCTGTTCATTCCACTATTTGCTTTCTGCAACTACCTACCAAAGGATGAAACAAGAACATTCCCCATAATAATTAAAAACGATTGGGTGTATTGGGGAGTGGGTATTGTTATGGGTCTCACCTCTGGTCATTTTAGCTCACTTGCTATGATGTACTGTCCAAAGTAAGTAACATGCCTCCGGAACCTTCTATCAATGTACAATTCTATATTGTCTAATTGCTTGATACTAACTATCTATTTTCATTCATTTTTTTTTTTTTTTTAAGGAATGTAGATCCTCAGCATCAATCAATAGCTGGCATGTTGGGTGCTGCCTTCCTAGTAACTGGTATTTTCTGTGGTATTTTGTTTTCTCCGGCCATCAAGTGGTTTGTTACAAATGTGTCATGGGACATTGATTGGAGTATCTAGAGTAAGCTTGGGTCCTTTCTGGGATTTTGTTAATCTACAGAAAGGACCAGCTGGCCCTCAGGGGCTGCAGCTTTAACAATAGATGTGTAGATCTGAGTAATGGAGATTGTCCTTAATTATTCTCTAAAAATTGGTCTTCACAAAAAGCAGTGTGTAGTGCATTTGCAATTTGCACCCATCACATACGCACTTTCAAAAAGGACACCACTTTCATATGAGGACTGTGACTTTAAATCAACACATCTGAAGAAAGATACCTAGTTACCAGGACAATGTGTGTTGATGATTTCAACCATCAAGTGAAATTTTAAGAGGGTTGTTGCCTCTTATAAATGATTATTTAATGAGCTTTTTACTAAATGAGGAATGTGAACCATGAACCTTGTGGCATAACTTCCTTAGAAATTCCTAGAGCAAATCTAGGAAAATCTTACTCTTTTATCTGTTTAATACTTGGCATTTTTAATTATTTTTTTTTGCATAATATAATATTTTAGCTTTGTCAAAGTTATGTCCCTGGAAATAACTTCTTTTTTTTTAATATTTTTTTACTTAACCTCAACTTTATATAAAACTGAAACTGCCAAGGGTTTCTTCTTTTACTGTGTATGCTGGAACCATAAGAAAGCATATCTTTGCATAGTTATTTCTCTTTACTTCTAATGAGCTGAATTGTTGTTACTGTGTTCTGTTATCAAGCAGTGTGTTCATAGTTTTTGTTCACATCTTTGTCAGGGACCTGTAACCAGCAGGGTTTTGTATGGCTTTGTGATGCACAATATTTACATTTATAACCTAATTGCGTGGGCGTTGATACATTTATGACTACAGGTATCTTATTGAGGACTTGGAACTATGTGGTCATTTCTGATTGGATGCAAATCAATACATGGTACTGTATCACAGTGCATGAGCAGCTCCTGAAATTGTCTGTTTACCACTATCCACGATTGCTTCTGTCATTCAGTCTTGGCATCTTGTTCCTAGACAAGTTTTGGACTAAACTTAAATTGCAATGTATCAAAACTTTTGTCTGAGCTTTCATGATTGCTTGGAAAACCTTGCTCAACTTCCTGCATCACTGCCAAATTGCTGTACCATACTTGAGCTTGTGAAAAGAAAAACGCTTGATTAATATTTACATTACCTATACTAAAATAGAAAATTAAAATAAGTAAATTTAGAACCAATGTGTTTGGTTCACTTACGCCCTGATTTTCTTAATTTTGTTATTGAAAGTGCATTATTTTAAATATATCACAAAGTGACGCACAAAATCTGCACAATATAAAATTATATTCTAATTAATGTGTATATTGCACATTCACTGTACAAATGTCTTCCCCCAAAGTTTTCTCAATGCTCTCTCTTCTCTCTTTGCTGTGTCACTACAGCATTGTTGCTAGATCTGTTTCAGCAACTTGTTGGTTTACTTCAACAGTCACTTAGATTCGTAAAATTACATTGTTTGACTGGATAATTATTCTTTGTTACCACACATGTGGCATACCAAGTAAAATTATTCTGGCACAATAGCTTGTTGCTCACATCATATCTGCGTTACTTATTACATTGCCTGTCACCTGCCTTCTTTTGTCTCCTGCCAGACGGGTTACTTGTCACAAATTGTTATCTTTATTTGAATGAAGGCTAGTAAAGACTGAACTTTCAAACCTTAAAAAGTACAACGCTTAGCCACAAATTGTATTTATGTCACAGAAGTGGCACTGTATGTATATCAAGATATTGAGCTTTATTAGGGAAGGCAGTTAACAATGTCTTGTTTGACTGTATGTCAGGATTTTTGCTTATTTACCTAAATATTGTGTAAGTACTCTACTGTTGACCTCTTGACAATTTTTAACGGATTAAGCAGTGTAAATTGTTAACATATTGTCTTCTTGGCACATTACTATTATTATTACCGTTATTATTTTTTGTATAACTGTTGTCTGCTATATTTCAAAACATGGAGCTTCTTGATCATTTTTGATCTCTTTGTAGAAAAGTCTTCAGGGTGTTAATGTTTCTGAACTTAACTATTTTAATAACCTTTTTTATTTAGTGCTTGACTTTTCTCTGCTGTGAAATGTTGGCTTCCTTATGGATTGCCTTATAGCAGGCAAGCTTGTGCAAGACAATTTCATTGTAAGAGAAATATGTGACATTAAAAAGTGCCAGTCAGTGTTGTATTATACTACAGCAGATTGAGTGGGAACAGGTGCATCTATATGCATCAATACAGTATAATGGGCAATCATAGAAAGGATCAAACCAGATTTTACCGCCTAAATTGTTGTGGCAGCACATCTTCTATTGAAGATGACTATAACATAAACTATAATCTTGGCTCAAAAAATAAAATCAAAATAGTGCAGTAGTACCCATAGCTGTTAGCTCATCTACTGCAGTCCTTCCTAGTACTGCTTTCAAGATAAAATGAATTATTTTCCAACCAATTAATTGTAGAAAAAAAATGGTAGAGAGATTGAGGAGAACTTGACTATTCACCACTCTAGATTTTTACCCAGACTTTTAATTTCTGGTTCAGTAATCCATTGGCTTTGCCAATTTTGTATTTTTCAGAGACAATAATTCCTCTTCTGGAGTCCTGTATTGACTCCATAACTATTACCTCCTGTTCTAAATCTTTCAAACTAACGGTTTGAATTGAATAAGTAGATGCTGAAATGTGTATGGTATGTTAATTCTTAATCAGTTAATCACGAGCCACTGCCAAATTACTTAATGCAGGTAGTCCATTTTCTACAGAGTGTATTTTGTAATCCTTCTTTTTTCTTTAAATCCTACATTTTGAAATTGGTTGTTATGCTGATACGTTTGTAAAATTTTGGTTTAGCTGAGCTACGTTTTTGAATAACTCTAAACCTATGAGTACTGTACTGTATTGTGATTTCTAATACTGTTTGTGTATGCATTTTGATTGCATACTTGACCTTATAGTTGTGTTGAGCATTTACTTCAGAGACTATTTTTTAAATTAAGTGTGTTAAGGTGTGTTAAATAAACTTAAGAGTTGCCTTTTGCCAAACTATAATAGAGAGCTTTTATTAAGCCCTCGTAAACATGCTTGCTGTTTGCTTTTATGTTATCTGATTAATTCTTTTTTATCCCCTTACACAATTTATGAAGATTTTGTTTGAACTATGGATTACTACATGCAATTACAAAACGCTTTTTGTGGCAGGATCCATCCCTAAGTTCAGATAAAATCCAATCGAGGTCCAGAAAGTATAAATTTATTAGTTTTAATTTTTCTTAACTAGATTCCGTCTTTTGTTTATAGTGGTGGTGCATGTCCTGTACCTTGCTATTCTGAAAATGATAAAAGATACTTAAGAGAGCTACTCGAAATCTGTCTCCTTTATAGCTGTGTGTGCGTGTGCAAGTGTTGTTTTTTTCCCCCCCTCTCTGTTTTTACTAAGCTAGGAAAGCAATGTGTTTGTTACAAAGATTGGCAAAATATTTGTCCATTTGTCTCATTTGTAATATGAGAATCTGTTATGTACTTTAACGTTGGTTGTCATTTGAAAAGTTTGTTATACCTGTTGTCCCTGTGCGGTTTTGAGCCCCCAGTCATGTGGTTGTCGTAACCATAAGTCTGGTCATGTTGTAGGTTTCATTATATGCCAAAACAAAATGTTTAATGAGACTGAATTGTTGGTGTAAGCCTTACCACTCATGTGTATTATTTATTACCTGTACATAATCTGGTTAATATCAATAAAAGGTGATGTGATACATAGAAATCGTAGATTCTTGAGGAAACAAGAGGTAGCGTGGGGTGGATGGGAGTAGTAAGGGTGTATCCGACGACGGGGCGCAAGGTCCTGTAGGCCGCCTCTGATGTAGCCAGCATCATCAACCCTTGAGCTCGCCATCTGTGGATCTTCCCTCCGGCGCTGGCGCGCAGCGAGGTCCTGCACGACAGTGATGAAACCACGAGAGACACGGGTGCCACCACCGCCGTGTCGGCGATTGGGGCCGAGGCAGTGGAGAACAATGCCACAAAACTTCGAGCACGGGCGCTGAAAGCACCGGAAAGCCCATATCGGGGTCGTCGGGGTGTGGCTGCGGCGTTCGGGCGGGCG